CACAAAATGAAAGTAAAGTGGCAGCCCCTCGCGGACGACTGCCGGACACAAAATAAAGTCCAGGCCTGGTCCTCTCTCCTCCAACATTGTCGTCACTCCTCCTTTTATCCTTCCGGAGCTCCTCCGTGGGACTCGAGACCAGTGAGTGGCGCAGGTGTCGCGCATTAGCATTTACTCCACCGGCCTCGCTCCGTTCCCACGGCTCTCGGTCCCGCCCTTCTCGTCACAATTATAATATTTATTAATGGAATGAGAAATGCTCTTGATGGTCCAAGCACACAAAAACAGCTGCCAAGGGCCTTACAGTTATGAATTAATAGTATTTGCGGGGTCAGTCTTATTAGAAAAAAAGAAAAATTAATTTTGATTAACCTTTTGGGTTATTATTTTAGAAAGGCTTACAAGAAGTACTTCTGCCTATCAATTGAAAATGTGCAACATAACAGGACTTGACATCCTCCACTGAACATCTGTAGTTATAGCCTCACAAAACAATGTGAGGGTGTGTTAATCAGAAGAGAGTCCAGACAACCTTGGTAAAATATATTGTGATTATCAAAGGTCATAAAACACTTGGAGACCGAGAAAATTAGACAAACAGCTGATCAAACAGATCGAGGAAATGAAAGCAGTTATCAGAGGCAAATGTTATGTTTTGTGTTTACTTTTATGTTTGAAAAGTAAATCATAATGGGAAATGGCAAAGTGCTGTCGAACAAGGGTTGAAATTACACTAAAAGGTTCTGTGAGTGCCCTTCCAGTTAAAGTCTTTTGTGGCTTGATGAATTAATTTCTATCTTAATCGTACTTCAAATTTCCAGAGCTGTCAGTAATTTTCAAGGCTATCGTCTGTTAATAATTTGAATTTAATATCTGCCAACCGGACAGAATTTCACGAATGTAAAAATGCCTCTGGAAGAGTCTCTAATCAGTGTAGTTGAAACTGTCAGATCAGTTGATTGGTGGACTGATGCAACATTGAAAAAGCGAATCATAAAGACGTTAGGCAAATCAATTCAACTTCATATTTAGAATGTTCCTAAAGCCACGACTCCCACATTTATCTTTAAACTCCAATTATCAAATGAATTAAGATGCTCAACATTACTGTCCAGGTTGATCTCATGGGACGGGTGTTTTCACACTTGAGTCCTCTTTAAAAGAACCAAACCCAGACCCCTTTAAGTGGACCAAGAGGTGGACCAAGTGAAAAAGGACCCAGTTTTCTTTGTGTTCACACTATCGCAGTTCCTGAAAAAGGACTCAGTTCCTTTTTTGGTCCACTTAAGCAGTAATGGTGTCTCAGACCTCTTTGTGTTCAGACTATGGGAAGCCAAACAACCCAAATGTAGGACGAAACAGCGCGGTATTAAAGTGTTCGCACCGCGCTGACCTGTCATAGGCGTGGCTCAACGGACCGAGCGGCGCGACCGACTCGACAGTGCAGAGAGGACGTGTTTACTAGCGCCACCGAACTGACAGCGCGGCGCGAACACTTTAATACCGCGATGTTTTGTCCTACATTTGGGTTGTTTGGCTTCCCATATCAGACTGTTGGTTTTTGGATCTAGTCCAGTTCAGTGTTTGATGGCTGACATTATGGCCTCCAAAACTTAGGATATTTTTATCTTTTGCACAAAAAATATAGTTTCGTACACCTTTTTAATATTTATTTTGAATTGTTTTCCTCGTCTATGTAATCATGTTTATTTTATAGCACAGGATTTCTGCAGGATTTTTAAGCTCTCAAATGTAAGACTTTACGACTGTTTTTAAGACCTGCACAGATAAAATTAATGCCATATGAGTGGGGTGGGGCAATGTTTTAAAATGACTGTAAAAAGCATGATTTACAGTTCAGATATAGATTTTCACAAAAAATATAAAGAAATTAAATACAATTTTGAATTTCAGCCTTTCAAATTTCAAACCATTTTTAAGAAAAGAGTCAAAAATCAAATGTATCAATTATTATATTAATGCTTTAATGGCTGGTTTAATATCAATTATTTTAAACCAGCAGAAGGGCTGTTAAAAAAATGCAAATTCATTCTCTGCCAGCAGGTGGCACTTTCAGAACTGCATACAGATAGACTTTGAAACGTGCAGCACTCATATTTATCCAATGAAATCATAGCCTTTTTCATTTTAATCATCACATTATGCTATACGACAATTGTCTTTCCGTCCCCATTGTACTTTTTATGGCCTTAAATTTGATACCAAAAAGGACCAGCGGAAAAGGCATGCTGACATTGCGATAGAAAAACACATTTAATTGGACAAATAAAATAAAATAAAATATAATAAACTGCTTTAAATTTTTCAGGTACTCCCGAGATGGTCTCGGTTCAGTTCGCTTCTGAGGGATCTGAGATCGTTTGGAGTGTGCACGTATGGGCCAAAAATCACGCGAACCGCGCTCAGACCACTGAAAAGGACCAAGTGTGAAAACACCCTTAAAGGGGTCATATGATGCGATTTCAAGTTTTCCTTTCTCTTTGGAGTGTTACAAGCTCTAGGTGCATAAAGAAGATCTGTAAAGTTGCAAAGACTAAAGTCTCAAATCCAAAGAGATATTCTTTATAAAAGTTAAGAGTCAACCACGCCTACCTAAAACGGCTCATTCTAACACGCCCCCACATGTCTACGTCACTATGTGGAAATATTAGCATAATGCCGCCCAAATGTGCACGCAAAGAAAGAAGGCGTGGTTTCAGGAACAGCAGTAGTGTTGATGCAGCCATGTCAGGGAGATGCTGTGTGATTCAGTACGAAAGCAAAAGCACTTTATTTGGCCTTCCGGAAGTAGATGCAATTAGGAATCATTGGTTAAGATTTATTTACAACAGAACAGCACAACCCAGATGTTCGAATTTGTGCAACGCATTTTATGGACGACAGTTTTTTGAACCTAGAAGAGTACAAGGCTGGCTATGCACAAAGGCTATTTCTAAAAAAAAAAAAGGGTCAATTCCGACTTTGCTATGACAATCTGGCGCTTCT